GTATATCCCCTCTCCTCTCCTCTCCTCTGATTGATGGTGTGTTTTTGTGTCAACCATCGCCACCAACGCCAGGTCTGCTGCAATACGACTGCGGAAAGCTGCAAGAGCTGGACCGCCTGCTGCGGACGCTCAAGCAGGGCGGCCACAAGTGCCTCATTTTCACGCAGATGTCCAGGTGCGCCACGGGCGGGGCGGGTTCGGCCTCTGTTCGCTCGAGGCGGTTCGTGGGCCCACGGGTGATGCTAACACATAACACACACACACGTCGCGGGGGGCGGGGGGCAATAGGATGCTAGACGTGCTCGAGGCGTTCCTCAACATTCACGGCCACACGTACCTGCGGCTGGATGGCGCCACGCGCGTGGAGGAACGCCAGCATCTCATGGAGCGCTTCAATGCCGATCCGCGCATTTTCCTCTTCATCCTCTCCACTCGCGCGGGCGGACTCGGCGTGAACCTGGTGGGAGCCGACACTGTCATTTTCTACGACAGCGACTGGAACCCGGCCATGGACCAGCAGGCCCAGGACCGCTGCCACCGCATCGGCCAGACCCGCGGTACACCGCCCGAACCCCTTACCACCACCACCACCACCACCACCACCACCACCACCACCACCACCACCACCACCACCACCACCACCACCACCACCCCGTACAGTCGCGAACGACAATCGTCGGAGAGTGCGAGGCCCAGGGCGAGGATGCTCGGAAGATATTTGATATTTGATATCGTTGGGTATCGTTGGGTATTGGATACTGATTGGGTGCGTGGGTGGGGTGGTCATGGGCACCGGTGGTGGTGGTGGTGGTGGTGGTGGCTGGTGGTGGTGGCTGGTGGTGGCTGGTGGTGGCTGGTGGTGGCTGGTGGTGGTGGTACGTGTGCGCGCGGCGGGGCCAGAGGTGCACATCTACCGGTTAGTCACGCAGCACACCATCGAGGAAAACATCCTCCGCAAGGCCAACCAAAAGCGGCACCTCGAGCAGCTCGTACTCACCGAGGGCCAATTCACCACGGACTTCTTCCAGAAGGTCACCATCTCCGATCTGCTCCAGGTATGCCCACCACCACCACCACCACCCCTACTACTACTACACTACTACGGCGCCTTTATCTGTTCGGTCGTCGCGCCCGTGGGCAAGTCACCCCCCCCCCCGACTCACCACATCCTCTGCTCCAACCCTCTCGTCTCTGGTGCTCTGGTGCTCTCAAAATCGCCAGCACGGGGAGGGGGCTGCTTCTGGAGCTGGCGGCGGCGACGGCGGTCTGGAGCCTCTAGCGCGCAAGGATTCGTCGGTGTCGTGGACACCCAAGGACTGGGAGCGCGCCATCGCATCGGTAGAGGACGAATCCGACGTGCACGCCATGGAACAGCTCAAGAAGGAGCTCTCCGAGGAGATGCAAGAGTTCACCGAAGATCCGCACCACCCATTGACGGTTCTTACCCCTCCTCCTCCCCCCCCCCCAACCCACCGCCACCGCCGCCGCCACCGCCGCCACCGCCGCCACCAGAGGTGGAAGGATGCGGCCCTTCCCAGAGCGTTATTATAATTCCCCCCCCCCACCCTTGGCGCAGCAGCCGGGAGGACCAGCTGCCGTGCACGCGGGCAAGGCGGCGGCGGCGGCGGCGGACAACGAAACGTTCCTCTCCGTGCTGTCCCCCATCGAGCGGTACGATGTGCCTTCCCTCTCACCCCCCCCCCCGGGTAGTCGTGCTGGCTGCTGGCTGGCTGGCTGGCTGGTGGGGAGCTTTCTCTCTCCCTCCCTCCTGTGGGCTGCGCTCGATGGGTCCTTGGTAGTATTCCGGCCGCCGCCTCACTCTGGGACTCATGCTCCTGCGGGTCGTGGGTTGGGTTGGGTTGGATGGTGGTCGGCGGTGGCTTGGTGGCTTGGTGGTGGCGGTGGCTTGGTGGTGGTGGTGGCGGTGGGGTTGCGCAGGTATGCGTTCAAGTTCCTGGACGAGGTCAATCCGGTGGTGGACGCGCAAGAGCTCGAGGCCATGCACGAGGAGGTGGAGCAGGAGGAGAGGCAGTGGGAGCGGGACGTGCTGCAGCGCATCAAGAAGGAAGAGCTCCTTCTGGCCCAAGAGCCCCCGGCCCCCAGCGCCCAGGACGAGGAGCTGCTTTTTTATGAGGTAGTCACATGAGGTATCCACATTTATGTATGCTGCTGCTGCTGCTGCCTCATCTGCGCGCGCGCGCCTCTCTGCCTCTCTGCCTGCCTGCCTGCCTGCCTGCCTGACTGCGCCTTTCCTTCTCTACTCTACTCTGCTGCTGGGGATCCCTCCTCCTTCTCCTCCCCCATATTATTATTATTGTTATTGTTATTGTTATTGTTATTCTGCTCTGCCTGAAGCCAACCGGGGGGGGGCGCGTCCACCCCTTTACTCACCTCGCCACACTTCCCTGTGACCATCCGCGGTTGCGTGGCCTGGCGTGGCGTGCTCTTCGTCGGCGGGGCGCGCGTTGGATATGAATTGTGTGGTGGTGGGTGGTGGTGGTCACGCAGGTGGTGGGCAGCGTGAGCGAGTGGCGAGAGGCGGCGCTGAGCGGGTCGGCCGTGTACGGGGCGTGGTGCCCCGAGGAGGACCAGCTCTACGTGCCCTCCTACGACCGGGAGCTCTTCCCGGAGCTGTACCCGTACCCCGACCTCCCCTCGTGCATCCACTACCTCCCCCGCCATGACCACGACCACCACGACCACCACCCCGACCCCGCCTCTCCCCCGTCCCTCTCCTGCCCTCCTTCCGCGAAAAAGGCCGCCGCCGCCGCCTCCGCCTCTGCGCCGTCGTCGGGGGCCAGCTCCTCCTCCCTCAGGCAGACCACCCTCACGCCCTTCCGCCAGAAGCACCACCCCGCGCCCCACAAGGCCGACCGCCCTCCTCTCTCCGCCGCCTCCACCCCCGCCAAACACACGACGCCGACGCTCCAAAAGAAGAAGATAATGAAGATGAAGATGATGAAGATCCGTCACGCTCCGCCCTCCTCCGAGCCCCTCCTCCCCGAGCTGCCCGACATGGAGGTGCCCACAGAAGCGCCGACGAAGCGCCCCAATAAGGCCGACACCGAGGCGGCGGCGGCGGCGACGACGACGACGACCAAGAAGCGAAAGGGGAAGCCCGCCGCCACGGGGAGGAGCAGCGCAGGACCCTCTTCTCCTCCCTCCCCCGTTCTCCAACAGTCCGCGGAGATCGCCTCGGCCTCGGACAAGACCAGCGGCAGCGGCCAGAAGCAGCCCGCGAAGAAGAAGCGACGCACCGTCAAGGAGGACAAGGGCGTGGGTCCCGCCGCCAAGCTCAAGCACGCCAAGGGCGACAAGGCCCTTACCACCGCCGCCGCCGCTGCCAAGAAGAAAAAGAAGCCATCCAAGTCTCCCGCTACGCCCCGCCATGCCAAAGGTATTCCCCGTGCCCGCCCGCCTCCCTGTCTGCCCCTTGACCACCAGCAGCCGCCGCCGCCACCACCACGTCTTGATCAGAACCTAACCCACGCACGCACGCGCGCGGGGCCACGTGATCACCGCACCACCACCGCACCACCACCAGGTCCGACGAAAAGAGGAGCGGACAAGGAGGCGGACCCGAGCACGACGACCGGAGGGGCGGCCCTGGCCCTGCCGGTGCCCTGGACACAGGAAGAGGAGCGCGTGCTGGATCGGGCGGTGCAGGCCTACGGCCCCTCCCCCAACTGGGACCTCATCGCCGACATCGTCAACTCTGCTCCGCCCACCCGCTACCACCGCCGCTCCCGCCAGCAGTGCCTCCAGCACTGGGCGATGCTCAGCGCCTCCACCAGCGTACCACACACGCCTCTCTCTCTCTCCCCCCCTCTCCCTCTCATACGACGTAACACTACCTGCCGTTCTCTCTCTCTCTCTCTCTGGGGATCTTACCCCACCCACCCATGTGTCTTGTGGTGCGCACGTGCAGGCGCCTGCCCCTGGCACGTCTGCGCCGCCTCCCGGGAGTGCCAGCGTGGCGGCGGGTCGACCATCTTTCGCCATCCTGCAGCT